CAGTATGGACTTTGTGTATATTTTAATTACTTTATATATGTCTTTGTATATACCTTATTTAGATGTCCATGTATTGTCTCTCAATTTTTTTATGTGACAAATGGTACTCAATTCAGGGGGCCGGGGTAGTAGTTATTCTCCCCCTGCTGATGTACATTTAAATTAGTGTAATAAATACACACACACACACACACACACACACACACATATATATATATATATATATATATATACACACACACACGCACGCAGGCGACCCCACGCCCACTACAACCCCTCCCCCTATTTTTCTACACATCCCCCCTCGATGTATAACGGCCGTCCCCCGTACCCCCCAGTGTCGGTAGGCAGACAGAGAGAATTACGTTTCTGCCGATTGTTTCTCACCCTTTGTTGTCGCAGGTCTCCAGAGCAATAATAAACTGTTGGGCTTCAGACAATTAACTGTACCTGGTAAATAACTAAAAAAAAGTTATCAATATTCATAAACACGATACTACTGTTATATTATAGCCTGGAGTGCGTATGCTATAGATATCTCTGTTGTTGTTTTTTTTGTAAATAATTTGGTAAAGTGTCTCATCATTACCTTCGCCAAGAAGGTTATTTTTTCAGTAGCGTTTGTCCGTCTGTCCGTTAGTTTGTTTGTCTGTGAACAGCATAACTCAAGAAGCTTGATATGGATTGTCATGAAACTTGGTAAGTGGGTAGGTCTTGATGAGACATAGAAATGATTAAATTTTGGGGCCCCTGGCGGCTTTTGTTGGTACTGCAGCAGAATTTCCGGTTTTCATATCTCGCGATCTGGACATGCTAGGGTCACGAATTTTAGATGGCAGATAGGTCTTGGGGTAGGGAAGAAGTGACATGAGTTTGGGTCCCCTAGTTAAATATACTTCTGTTCGTTGGTGTGCAGGGATAATATATACTAGTACTAGTACGAAAAACCAATTGCTATATTTTCTGCAGGTTATACTGTGCGAGGATCTTAATTAACACATTTATTCTAGAATTAAACACAAAATCATTAGAAGTCTGTGAAATGTTTTATTTCTTTTGTGCTTAGCATCTATAGAAGTGTTTTATTTATTTGCGATGGACAACATGTCTACTACACTTCAACGTAGCATAGGAGTTTTGCTTGCAGGTCATTTTACATGAGACAACATCTCATACACAGCGTGGTAAAGGATATCGCTCTAAGCTTATTCCCAACTTATTCAATTAGGTATAGGATTCTATATCTCAGTTTTGCCAAACAGAGGGTTTCACTTGGTAAAAGCTGTACTAAAGAAGACATTTGAAATAGCGGCTACTACTACTATGGCTAAAATCACAATGCGGGACGGAAAGGACGGCGGTCGCCTTCTGGACGGAAAGGACGGCGGTCTTCTTCGGGACGGTACGGACGGCGGTCGTCTTCGGGACGGAAAGGACGGCGGTCGCCTTCGGGACGGTACGGACGGCGGTCGTCTTCTTCCGACGATGAAGGCCTGACGCCATCGGGACCCTCGGGAGGTGGAGGCCTGACGCCATAGGGACGGTCTTCTTCGGACGATTCAGGACGGAAAGGACGGTTGTCGTCTTCTTCGGACGATGAAGGCCCGAAGCCATCCGGACGTGGAGGCTTTGTGCCTTCGGGAGGTGGAGGCCGGGTCAAGGCAAATCCGTCAATGATTGGTGGAGGCCTGGTGCCCTCGGGTGGTGGAGGCCTGGTGCCCTCGGGCGGTGGAGGCCTGGTGCCATCGGGTGGTGGAGGCCGGGTGCCGCCGGGCGGTGGAGGCGGAAGCGTTCGGGCGACCACCTGAAGTGGGTAAGAAAATTATTGTATTACTCCAATTTCTTTAAAGGTTATTCCATCTTTTCATGATCAGGCTACATGAAATGGTCATTATTAATTCATATTCCTTATGCGACTAGACAAGCCACCCATCGAAAAACAGATCCGTACGTTTATTGCTGCAATAACAGAAAAGCGAGGAGAAGTTGAATTTATATAACGATAGTTAATTTTCTATCTGTTAACCGTGTTCATTCTTATTATTTTGTTGTGACCTGTACTTAGCCAAGTGTGGCAGAAATGTGCAATAAAGGTCTTCATTCATTCATTCATTATTGTACAATTTTCTCCTAGCATTCAACTAAGAATGTCAGACTGAGAATAATGGGTATACTACTAATAATTCCAAAAATATAAAACTATAAATCTCAAACAGGCAAGGAACCCTCATAACTTGATCAATGCCACACAACTGGAGAAACCTTGCAATGTATCTCTTCATTATACAATATCTGGACTACTTGTAACGTAAGGTAAAAAAAATGAAGTAACAAAGTAAGTCATAAAACTATCTACTTCAATGGTTTACCACTAGAAAACAGCAAAGGCTCGTTCCGCAATTGAATGTTTCTTGCACAAAATGCACAGAAAAGTCATCGAAGGACACCCGATTGAAATATAGATTAGAAAATTCGGTGAACTCGATATGTAGTGAAAGAAGTGCGCTAAAAATCATGTGTAGAAAGTTTTGAAGGTAAGCAATTTCAAAGTTGCAAACATGTAATAAAATAATCTAACTCACCCCCGAAAAAAGCACGGTGACTGCTAGAGCCAGGATCAGCTTCATGTCTGTCGATGTCGTCTCCGAAATTCGTAAGAAAAAAGTAGAAAGTTGTTCCCTTATATAGGCTGACTAAAATCAACAAAATGCTGACCCAAGCTTGACGATACCGAAGTCCAAGTATACGTACTACATCGTACCAATCTCCATGCACAAACAAGGTGCTTAGTGCCACGTCGTACCATACACCGAATTGATAAGGTGTCATTCGTTGTTCAGTACCGTACCATGCACGGAAAAATGTTGTACCATACACCTGGCTGCACATGACGTATCTATGAATTACTTTTAACGTATATGTTACTGTTGCAATACCATGGTTGGGAAACCTATGGGACTGTTCTCATGCTGTAAATAGCTTTGATAATATACGAGGAAGTGCAAAAGTCAACCAGTGCAATATATTAATGTATACTTTTTATTATATTGAGTAGACCTAATGAATCACCATTTTTAAACTACAGTCCAGTTAGTCTGACGCATTCATACTTACCTTGCGTCCCGTGAGTTCATATCATAACTCGTATTAAGGGATTGACCTAGGTGTTTTTAACTGTTCGTCTTGTTTGTTTGTCAAAACTTAATAAAGATGATTTTAACTCTCACAGGGCTACAGTCACAAGGTATCCATTGCCACGCCGTACCATTCACGGTACCATACCTGCAAATGACGTAATATGTAAATCTGATGCAATGCCGTACGGTGCACGTGCTTCGCTCTACCATTCTGGCATTCACGTTTTTTTACATTCCAACATATAGTCACAAGACGTGGTGACGGCACACTCAAGTTTTTTTTTCGACTTGTATTAATGCCGCCACCAACACAGGGGACAATACAATACTCATTTTCACCTGAGAGAAGAGAGGAAAGTCGTGTAAAGTGCCTTTCCCAAGGGCACAAGAGCGGTGGCATGTCAGGACTCGAACCCGGGACCTCTTGGTTCCGAGTCGAGCACGCTACGCCACACGACCCCATTTGCGTTTGTAACGGTACAAATGGGACAAATACATGTGTATGAAAGTTATTGTCAACAATACCAACATTAGTTCATTTCGCTTACTGCTGTAATCAACGAAATAACATAGGATACTAGTAGGGTCAATAACTTAGTAAGCGGTTTTATTAGCTTCCTCGTACTTCAATGGCTTAACGTAGTCGTATAAAATGTGCAGCACCACATTTTCAAAGTCCTATGTTTGACGAGAGTTACGTGGCATCCGGTCCAAATATTCTTTGTTTTCAAAAAATAAACTTTCTTGTAACTTGACTAAATCGCGCTCCTTTACCAGCCGGCCTTTCCGATAGTTGCGGCTCCCAGAATTGAAGAAATTCCATTAGCCCCATCCAGTGACAGATTGTGTAAACGCAGGCTGACCTTTTTATTACCTTCATGAAAAATGGAGGTATTGTTTTTGGCGCGCGCGCGCGTGTGCGTGTATGTGTGTGTGTGCGTGTATGTGTGTGTGTGTGTGTGTGTGTGTGTGTGTGTGTGTGTGTGTGTGTGTGTGTGTGTGTGTGTGTGTGTGTGTGTGTGTGTGTGTGTGTGTGTGTGTGTGTGTGTGTGTGTGTGTGTGTGTGTGTGTGTGTGTGTGTGTGTGTGTGTGTGTGTGTGTGTGTCTGTGCGTGTTTGTGGTTCCAGACATTTGCGGCGAGCGTGACCTTTGAACCTTTGAATGGATTGTAATGACATCTGGTATGTAGGTAGGTGTTGTGTAGGCAAAGGTCAAGGTCGATTTTGAACTGGTGGCTGACCTTGGTACTGCAGCAGAACTTCCGGTTTTTGTATCTTTTGTCCTGGACATGCTAAGGTCCTGATTTCTGAGTGGCGGATAGCTTTTCTTGTCAGTAATAAGTGGTGTGGGTTTGGTCTTCCTAGCAGCTTGTTCTGGAACTGCAGGGGGG